ATGTTAGAGCTGTTGAACCAATTGGACGGTTTCGATGGCAGGGGTGACGTGAAGGTGATTATGGCCACCAATCGGATCGAGACGTTAGACCCGGCGCTGATAAGGCCCGGTAGGATCGACCGTAAGATAGAGTTCCCACTGCCGGACGAGAAGACCAAACGCCGTATTTTCAACATTCATACGCAACGCATGACTTTGGCTGAAGACGTCAACTTCGATGAGCTCGTGCTGGCGAAGGACGACCTGAGCGGCGCCGACATCAAAGCCGTGTGCACTGAGGCCGGGCTTATGGCGCTCAGGGAGAGGCGTATGAAAGTGACGGCCGAAGACTTCCGCAAATCTAAGGACAATGTTCTCTACCGTAAGAAAGAGGGAACTCCTGAAGGACTCTATTTATAAACATCTCTATTAGGCTTATGGCGCTCAGGGAGAGGCGTATGAAAGTGACGGCCGAAGACTTCCGCAAATCTAAGGACAATGTTCTCTACCGTAAGAAAGAGGGAACTCCTGAAGGACTCTATTTATAAACATCTCTATTATGTATCTCATTGTGTTGTCATTAGTTTCTTAATGCGATTTTAATATCAATTAAAATGAAATTTTATCTTAATTTAAACATGCATTTTATTTATTTTTTATGTCAAATAATGTCAGTAGCAGTGAACACATTTGCTGAATGACATAACGACCAAAATTGTTGACAACATTTATGAATTAACTTATTTTTGAAATACGGTAATTAAATTTAATTTGTTGGATTTAGATGATAATACCAGTGTTTTTAAAATGTATGTCAATCCACACACTTATGAAAAGTACTGTACATGGGTTCGACAAATATCTTAAAATCAATTACCGGTAATTTTTAATCATTCATTATTATTTATTGGTTTACTTAAAATAATTTCTGAGCTATTCATTTAGTGCTTTACCAGTTCGTAGATTATCGAAATAAAAATATTTTTACTACGATTACTAGTGGCCAATAAAAACATATTCATAAATTATCGATAATAGTAAATCAAAAATTGTTTAGGTTATAGGAATACAGTACATATGGATTGGAAAAATAGATAATTGTTTCAATTGAATGACTTCGAGAGAAGTATTGATTTGTTAGCACTTGTTGTGACACTTGTATTGACACATAATTCTAATAAAATTCAGTCCAAATGCAGACGAGTCTAAATTGTGAATAAGTATTACCTATGATATACAGTACTAGTATATAGAATAACCTCCCCTTATACTGGATCACTCCATTTCTTCATTAAATATACCTATACTTAGAAATAAAAGTTTCTATCAAATTCTTAATTCTTTTAAAAATGTAACAAATGTCACATAATATACAGAATAACAAATTAGTGCATCCAATAAATTCTATACTAATTAAGTAATTATTTTAAAATTTATGTAATTCTTGAATAATGATTAGATGCTAGCATGAGATAGCACGGAAAGTTTGATTTAAACATTTTAAACTAAATATATTTATCAAATGCTGAATACCACTAAATAAAGTGTAGAAAAGTGTAATATTACACTCAAACGTAAGTTTAAGACAAGTCTAATAATTGAGAATAGGTTTGTTTCGGGTGATAATATATGGTTTGATTGTATACAACATATTGATTGTAACCAAATGGTGATGCACTGATGCACTGGTAGAGTAGGCATATTAGTTGGGAGAATGTGTGCTGAAATACAGTGTTGAAGGAAACGGTATGGCATTAGAAAGCGATTCAATGGCACGAAAGCCAATAAATGGTGACATTGAGAGAAACTGTAACACAATTCGAGGCCAATATGCCGTTCAATCGACGAACTCTATCATCTCAAGGCTGGTGGCACTGGTAGGTTGTTGGTGGCACTGGTAGATTGGGGGCACTATAGCCTCAAATTAGAGCAATAGTAGAGCTGACAGTGAAATAAACGTACGGTTTCTCTGCTAGAGGAATATACTACATGAGCAGCACATATACCGTACGGAATACCACACTAGACCTTGACATTGATGTATATGGATATATCAATTTGGTTATACATTTACAGTAAATAGTACTGCAATCGTAAACTGTATTTATGCGCAACTATTATAGCATTTAAGTTATATCTGGTGAGACATACCTCCCTGTGTGCCGCCGCCGCAGCTGTTGATGTCATTCGTGAGGCAGTTCTTCTACACATACCTGTGCTTTCAATCGCTAGCCTCTCATTCACTCCCATAGTATTTAAGGCAAACATTTCATAAGTTTTATAACTTTTAGTTTGCGATTAAAAGTGAGAAAACTTTTTTTGATATAAAACTCGAGAAGAGATGGCAGCGATTGCGGCGAAAGTACCGACTCTGACACTGAACGACGGCAGACAGTTCCCCATCGTAGGTCTGGGCACTTATGAGGCACCTCCCGGTGTGGTGGAGAACGTGGTGCGGGTGGCGGTGGACGCCGGCTATCGACACTTCGATTGCGCCGACTTCTACGAGAACGAGCACGAAGTGGGTCGGGCTCTCAGGGATGCCATCCGTGAGGGCAAAGTGACGCGCGACCAGCTCTTCATTACGACCAAAGTGTGGCCCAATTGGCACGGGAGGGGTCGACCCACTCTGAGTGTTCAGCGGAGTCTCAAGAACCTGGGTCTGCCATACGTCGACCTATTGCTCATCCATTGGCCCACACCTTTCAAACAGGTGGACAACGACTTCTACCCCCAGGACGCCAGTGGACAGGTGTTGTTTGATGAGTCCATACAACTGGTCGATGTCTGGAAGGAATTCGAGCAAATCAAGAGAGACGGTATTTGTTTCACTATTTGTTTCACTATTTGTTTCACTATTTTTTGCCTACTTTTACATATTCTGCATATTTTACTCTAATTCTTACATAAATAAGTTTTAGCCAAAAACAAACAATCAATATTAGTGCTAAAGATTACCTGCGATAGTAATTTCAATATTTGTTCATTTGTGATAATCATTAATGATTTTGACATTATTTATAAAATATAACAAAGTTATTTGTGGAATTATTAATTAATTTTAAGGTACTAGGGTAAACGCAACTTATAACTTTCCATGCCATTGAATGTGTTCACATAACTCAATAGTATTAAAATACAAATATGGTAATTAATGATTTGCATAAAGTTTTCATATTTTAAACAAATTCTATAAAATTCAAGGATATATTGTATTTGTAAGAAGTGTTTAGTCTCAACTTTCAGAAATATGTGAGAAAACATGTTTAACAGTGTGCTATTATTTATCACTTAATCGCTAATATAAATACATTTCGATAATTTTGTTATTTAGGAAAAGTTTTGTCAATCATTCATAAGTTTTTTCCAATAACTTATACAGTACTGTACCATACATTGTGTAGTTTATTTGATAATGTTATTGATAGCGAAATAATACATTGGTTATTTTTTAAACTGGACTAAATCAAAACACATTTGTAATATTCTATTTATATAAAATTGATAATAATTTGTACCTTACTTTTTAATATACAGTACGATATGCCCGAACATACAGTTTTAGTTTAGAGTGCAACTTATCAAAGATAAACTTAAAATTTTATCATCAAATAATATTTATCTAAACAAATATAATATGAATAGCGAACTATTAATGAACTCATTTAAGATCATTAAAAACAACTCATGGTTTTCGTGATGACAGGTCTGACGCGCTCTATCGGTGTCTCAAACTTCAACTCCGAGCAGATCGCGGACCTCATTAAGAACTCGTCTACCGTTCCTGCGGTCAATCAAGTGGAGTGCCACCCATACCTAAGCCAAGAGAAACTGCTAGAGTGGTGCCGCCAACGGGGCATCCATTTGACGGCGTACTCACCGCTGGCCAGGACTGGAACCGCCGAAGAGAAGAACACCACTTCGCCGCTCGACATACCGCTGATCAAGGAGTTGGCGGCCAAGTATGGCGTGAGTCCGGCAGCCATTTGCATCAAATGGCAGACACAACGAGGAGTGGCCGTCATTCCCAAGAGCGCCACCAAAGAGAGGATCGTCTCTAATATCAATATATTTCACTTCAATCTGACGGACGGCGAAGTGAAAGCAATCAATGGTCTGAACAAAGACTGGAGGAATAATACGTGGTCTCAGTTCGGCATTAATAAGAGTAAGAACTGGCCCTTCAATATACCCTTCTAAGGGGTTCACCGGTTATACCGATATATGAATTATAGTTCGTCTAAAGCCTTATACGAGCAGTCAATCAAACAATAAAAGTGCAATAAATGAGAAATTAAACAAAAATATTATGTTTTATTGATTTCTAAAAGTTATAAAAGTCGTGTTTTAATAGAGTTTTTAATATAAGTTTTAATAGTGTTGTTATTGTATTATTAGTGGAAATTTAGGAAAACAATTAGCATTTATATAAATTATTATAGCAATGCATTAAAAATAAGAAACTTAAGAAATAGTGTGTTATTAAAAATATAAAATTATTAGTCAAGCGATAAATTGTGCAAAATTATTAATCTCAATGTTATATTAAAATAATATGAAAAGTTTAAAGTAGTAAATTTGGCATCTGTTCAAAATAATTGTTATCACAGTTTTATCGATTATCTTGGACTTGATATCAATTAATATTTGCCAGAAATGAGTGAAAAGTGCAGTGACTTTACAAACAATTCATACAACAGTCCACAGATCCTCTCTTATCCCGGACCTGAACCCGTAAAATGAGAAAATTAATTCATAAAATGCTTTTAAATATGAGATTTATTTTTGTTCATCAATTCATACAACAATTCCGTATTCTTTGGCTAAACTATAGAACAGAGAATCAGTTTTCTGGAGAAGATGTTTGGGTGAATCCATTTCAGCGATGACTCCGTTGTCTAAAACCAAAATCTTGTTGTAATCCAAGACTGTATTCAATCGGTGAGCGATTGTCAAAACAGTGCAGTCACTGAATTGATCCCTAATAGTCGACTGAATCAGTGAATCGGTTTCCAAATCACAGGCAGCCGTCGCCTCGTCGAGGATCAGGATCTTTGAGTGGCGAAGAAGTGCTCGCGAGAGACAAACCAATTGTCTTTGACCTGCACTCAGATTATCACCACTTTCTGTGATCTCATACGAGAGGCCATCGGATGTATGAGATATGAAGTCCTGTCCATCAAAACAATAATCCGTCTCCAAATCACAGGCAGCCGTCGCCTCGTCGAGGATCAGGATCTTTGAGTGGCGAAGAAGTGCTCGCGAGAGACAAACCAATTGTCTTTGACCTGCACTCAGATTATCACCACTTTCTGTGATCTCATACGAGAGACCATCGGATGTATGAGATATGAAGTCCTGTCCATCAAAACAATTATTAATATTTTAATTATAGCTATATTTTAAATGCTATTAATTGATGCCTACCTTCAGGTGAGCCCTTTCTAATGATGTCCACAATTCTTCGTCAGAGTATTCCTCAAACGGATCCAAATTGAGTCGAAGGGTTCCGGCGAAGAGATTGGGTTCCTGTGGTATAATCGTTAACTTCGACCGCAAGTCATGTAAACCAATACGAGTCACATCCACGCCATCGATCACTATCTGTCCGAATGTCGGCTCTATTATCCTAAACAACGCCAAAAAGAAGTGCTCGCGAGAGACAAACCAATTGTCTTTGACCTGCACTCAGATTATCACCACTTTCTGTGATCTCATACGAGAGGCCATCGGATGTATGAGATATGAAGTCCTGTCCATCAAAACAATTATTAATCTTTTAATTAAAGCTATATTTTGTGTATATTTCTGACACTACCTTCAGGTGAGCCCTTTCTAATGATGTCCACAACTCTTCGTCAGAGTATTCCTCAAACGGATCCAAATTGAGTCGAAGAGTTCCGGCGAAGAGATTGGGTTCTTGTGGTATAATTGTTAACTTCGACCGCAAGTCATGTAAACCAATACGAGTCACATCCACGCCATCGATCACTATCTGTCCGAATGTCGGCTCTATTATCCTAAACAACGCCAAAGTGATCGACGACTTGCCGGCGCCCGTCCGGCCAACTATTCCCACCTTTTCTCCCGACTCTACCCTGAAGTTCAAGTTCTTGAGAACCGGTTCGAGTCCTGGTCTATAGGAAGCGCTATAATCGATGAACTCTATGGAAGCACTTGTGGGCCAGACATCAGAGGGTTTGTTAGCATCCGTTGAATCCCAACTATATTCCGGTTCGAGTTGTGAATACTCTTTAATCCTTTCAATGCAAACCATTTCTGTTTCCAGATTTGAGGTCATTCTTAGCCCCAAAGAAATAATGTTAATGATATCAACTGAATAGATGAGCACAAATCCGGCTAATCCTGGAGTTATGTTATCTCTCTCTAACACAACAAACATAGCGATGGAAAAAATTATTATTATTCCAATAACTGTGGTCCAGATTTCAATCCTAAACATAATACAGTATCCAACAATAAATTTAAGTTTTCACTGCACATTAAAATATCTCACCACATCACTGCTAATTCATTATGTTTTGCAATATTAATATTAATATCGATAAAGTTTTGCAACTTTTCCATAAATAAATTTTGCACTTTATAGACCCGTATGGAGACGGCACCGGAAATACTTTCATTAAAGTGACTATAAATTGGTGACCGAGTGATGGAATTTAAGCGATTTAATTGTCTCGAAGTCCACAAATAGATTCTCTAAAAAGACAACAAATATATCAATAAAAATCATAATTAAAAGAATTTAAAAACTTACATAAAGTATAGCAAACAGAATGGTCACAATAACTACGAGAATAGCCATGTATGCATTTGTGTAGACAATGATTGCCATAATTATGAGAAAATAAACAAAATAATTGGTGGCTTCAGTCATATACCGAGGTATGAGTTCATCGATCTGTTGAAAGTCTCGATTGAATCGGTTTATGATTCGTCCCAAAGGGGTCACATCGAAGAAGGACAGAGGGGTTCGCAGAATACATGACAACATGTCTTTGTGGAGCACTTCGGCGGCATTTAGAGCACCGGTACGGAGTCTCGATTGAATCGGTTTATGATTCGTCCCAAAGGGGTCACATCGAAGAAGGACAGAGGGGTTCGCAGAATGCAATACAACATGTCTTTGTGGAGCACTTCGGCGGCATTTAGGGCACCGGTACGGATGACAATCTGAAGAATCATTACGAAGATTGTGTCCAAAATAATGGCCGATAGGTATACCCCTAAAAAGAGAGTTCTATTGGATGTCTATTGTGGAGCACTTCGGCGGCATTTAGAGCACCGGTACGGATGACAATCTGAAGAATTATTACGAAGATTGTGTCCAAAATAATGGCCGATAGGTATACCCCTAAAAAGAGAGTTCTATTGGATGTCTCAGAAGTTTGTGTTGAGTTTTGTGACGACCAGATGTTAAGCCAATAATTGCCCCCAACTTCACAGGAATTGAAGAGAAACGAACAAATTAAGGGAATTAATGTAAACCAGAATCCGATTCTTTTCAAATAATCCCAATAAACACTCAATTTAATTGATCCAAACTGTTGTATCTCTTCATCAATCAATTGACAATTATCCGCCTCTTTCTTCATCTTCTCCTTCAAAACCTTTTTACTTTCCTCTCTCATAGATATTTGTTGAGACAATTGTGCCGTCGATTCACTTTCGTTGACTCGAGAGGTCTGTCTCGACATCTGATCCCCACTTCCTTTGGACTGATTGTCCGACTCATTGAACTCGTGGTCGGAAAGCACTCCCCTCTCAGCCAACTCGTCATAACCGCCCGACTCGACAACCCTTCCCTCACTCAACACCAGTATGTGATCG